AGCGAAGCAGAGGCGAACCCAGAATGCGGCGAGCCACGGTCGCAGAGGCCGATCGCCTGCAGACCAACGAGCTGCGAAGTACCCGCCGAGGAGCTGAAACGGGAAGTCAATCAGCACCGCGAGTGCGAGTTCCTCACGTCCGAGCCCCTTTTCGACAAGCTTGAGCGATGTCACTCCCTCATTCGCCTGGAAACCGATCTTGCAGACGAAGTGGATAATGAGGAGCGATTGCGCGTCTATTGGTGCAGCAAGTTAAGGCGAGGAAATACAAACGTGATGAGAGCTTACGAGGGAGTTTGCAGATGCCCCATATGATTTTGTAGACTTTAACAAGGTCCATATCGTCGTCTTCTGGAGTTGTTTTATCCTCCTTTTTGACGAAGATCAGCCAGAGGGTGATTGAATACGATACCACTGTCCAAAATCTTAGATAAGTTGACAGTGATAGAACGGGAATACCCCAGTTTTCTCTAAAGCCATGTTCAGTACGTGCCAGAAGCGATGTCACGAATGAAATGGCATACGCGAATGACTCGCTGTTTAGCGCCAGGAAAACGGTAAACGATGCGAAATACCCAGTGTTGAGCCCAATGGTCTGGCATGTAGACGCATAGGAGAGATTTTCATGGGAAAGAAGAGTGAGGGCCCAGCCGTCCACAGCGATATCTGCAAGTTTAAGTGAGCATACTGATTTAAATCAAAAACCTATCTTAATAACGTACCTTGCGTAGCAGATATTAAAACGAGTGTGGTGAAAATGAATGTGAGTTTATGAATATTCTCGGCGGGCTACGCCGTCCTCAGTTTGATTGCTTATATCTTCAAGAACTCGAGAGCTCACTCACCAGCTCTAACAAAACCTGGACATTGTTTGATATCCACAGCATCAACGTGCCAATAATGAGCTGCATAGGAATAATCCACGACTTCCTCCGCCCGACACCCTGAAAGAAACATGAATCGACAATGGGCGACCAAAGGAGTTTGAGCGAGTAAGGATATCCAGCGAGAGCGAAGATGGCCAACTGGGAATACGACAAGTGTTCGCGCAAAAGGAAAGGGACGGAGCCTAATGCAAGTCCTAGCTGCAAGTCGAAAGGAAAGTTAGCATAAATGTCTCGCCATAGGACGTTTGAATACACGTACCGGCACTCCTTGAATAAGATCTACGGGAGGTTGAACAACTGCAACCTAGCAACGCCAGAGGCGAAATTAACTCACATAACACAATGAGCAGCACCATGCCGCGCTTGTCCTTGGAGGACATGCCTGCCTTCGAGCTTGAATATGGTACGCCTACTGCTGCCTCACGACGTTCATCCTTATCCAAAAGACTCATTTCCACCTCGTCCACCCTTTCCCCATAATCTAGTCGAACCGCCGTCCGCGGCGTGCGCGGCGGGACGTGGATACTCTGGAGTGAGGACGACACTGCGCCATTCCTTGGAGTCCTCATAGAATCAGAGTCAGAACCTTGGGAAACGTCCTCAGGAGCCGCTTTAGCCTGCTTTTTGCGACGGTGTCTAGGTTTGTGGTCTGAGATGGGCACGCTCGAAGTCGTGTTGTCCTCGACGGACATTATTTGGTTGTCGTGGCACGTCCGCGAGTCGCTCACTACACCTAAACGGGAAGTGACTACATACACACAATGAGTGACGTGCTGTCTGTCACAACGCGTTTCAAGCAGTCCGAAGAATATGTTAAGATTCCTCCCGAACTTTTGAGTTCTATACGCTGGCACCTCACTCTGCGTTCTTCATTTGCTTTATTTCAGCTGCCGATAATTTCAGCCGTCATTGTGACATCTCCTTCTGAGTCCAACTTCAGGAGACTTTAGAGTATAAACACCGTTGTGTTTCGAACGAAGCGATAGGGAGGTGGTCCTCACTGAACTTTGATTGGACGCGTTTTTGCCATAAGGGGAACAAACGAATATTCTTGAAAGGACAGGCAACGGTGGTACTCTCAGGCTCTCTCTTCTCTACTACTTTATAATCTCATGGACAATAACTGGGCCTGCTTTTCTCCTCTCGCACTCCCCTCCACAGCCCTTGACAGTTCTCTCCAGTATCTCAATTCCTCCTCACCCTTTGAGCTACTTCCAGCGTTGCAATCTACCATTTATCACCAGGATGGAAATTGCGCTAGCTTCGATTTTAAAGGCACTCGCATTCGGTGGGAAGGCTTTTGGTGTGCTCATTCTCGTGCAAGCATTGAGAGGGCTTTGGTGGCTTCTCAACTTACTCTTCATCAAGCCACCATTCGATCCCTTGAGACTCCTTCCTGGCCCGGACGCGCACAAGATGCAGAATCATTTTCGTGAAGTCATGGAGTGCGCTTTTGTGGTTTAAATGGACATTCAGGACTCATGCTTACCGATTCTATAGTCCTGATCGCTCTCTACACACGCATGAGGACTGGGTCGGTCAGTTTGGAAAGACGTTCCGCTATCATGGGTTTGGTGCTGTACGTTTCGGAATCTCAGTATGGTCGGACTAAGTCTCACTCGACCTTCACAAACAGTATGACTACCGCCTCATGTCTCTTGATCTGCGTGCAGTTTCGCATGTCCTGAATTCGCCCGTATATGAAAAGCCATGGCAGACAAGAAGACTCCTGTCCCGTCTTCTCGGACAAGGTACGCAGCCGCTGCTCAACACGTACAGCCTCTGAATGGCGTTTTTTCCACCGTCCACACAGGTGTGTTCGCGAAGGAAGGCGAGGCGCACCGAATACAGCGCAGAATTATGGCTCCAGCATTCACTTCACAGACTGTGAAAAACCTCGCGCCTGTCATGTTCCAAAAGGTAAGATAATACGACCCCTTCGCATGACTATAAGACACTATATTTACATGGGTTTTGCAGGCAGAAGAACTCAAAGACAGGTGGGAGTCCATTATAACCTCGGTCACCAAACAAACGCCCTTGGAGAGCAATCCTGACTCTGAGAAATCAGTCGAGAACGAAGGTCCCGATGACGAAGTAACGATTGACGTCGCCCATTGGATAACGCGCGCGACATTTGACATTATCGGTCTCGCAGGCTTTGACTATGCCTTCCATGCGCTTGAGGACGAGTCCGAAGAGGTTTATCTCGCGTATAGTACGATGTTCTGCGCGGCGGACAAGGGGCCCGGGTTCAAGCGCATCGCGGCGCTGTTCTTCCCGATCATCGAGAAGCTCTGGCCAGATGACGGCATCCGGGAAGTGAATGCGTCGTTAAAGACGATCAGGCGAAAGGGTGAAGAGCTCGTTAGGAGCAAGAAGCAAGCGATCTTGGCAGAAGTTGGGAGCACGAAGGAGATTTGGGATAAAGACATCCTTTCGTTGCTAAGTGAGCCTTTTTTCATTTTTGTATCCCCGGGACGTCTGATGACAGATTTGTGTTTATTACTTAGTCAAGGCCAATCTCTCGGAAAACCCTGCCCAACGGCTCTCTGACTCCGACCTGCTAGACCAACTTTCCACGTTCCTTTTTGCTGGCACTGATACTACAGCTATCTCCATTGCGTGGTCCCTTTACTATCTCGCGCACTTTCCGGAAATCCAGACGCGTTTGCGCGACGAGCTCGCCACCCTTCCATGTGGCGCGTCTGTAAATCCGAGTTACCAATTGGAAACGGACCCGATCGCCGTGCTCGACGCGCTCCCGTTTCTCGATGCGGTCGTTCGCGAGACCTTGCGCCTTGCACCGCCTGTGCACGGCACGATCCGCGTTGCGATGCGCGACGATGTCATCCCGCTGAGCGAGCCGCTTGTTTTGCGCACGAACGAACGCGTAAGCGAGGTGCACATCCGCAAAGGCAGCTACGTGCACATCCCTATCGAGGGACTGAACTACAGCAAAGACATCTGGGGAGAGGATGCCTTATTTTTCAAGTCCGTTTTGCTTTTCTTTCATTCATTGTCAATATTCATTCATGTAATCTTATTTCTACGCTCGGTTCTTAGGCCCGAACGTTGGACCTCCCTCCCTGCGAATGCATCCCACCATCCTGGTCTCGCGAACCTCATGTCCTTCACCTTCGGTCCGCATGCGTGCATCGGCTGGCGCTTCTCGCTACTCGAGATGAAGATTTTCCTCGCCGCCCTCCTTCCGTATTTTGCGTTCGCGCCCGATGCTGAAATCAAGAAGTATAACGCGATCATTACGCGTCCGTACGTTGCCGGAAAGTACAGGATGGGTCCTGCACTGCCGCTCAAGGTTTCTAAGTACACCGCGTGAATCTGCCGCGGGTTTTCTGAGCTTTAAGTCGAGTGCTAGTAACAATTAATAACGGTATTTATGCCTCTTTTATGTTTGTTTTCCTGCTCTCTACTTTGTCGACGTAGCTTTTTGGACCCTCGCTCTTCTGCTCACTTTTTGTTTTCTAACGCCATCTCATTCCGTGTAACTTACTCACAATCCTTAACCACATAATCATCATCATTTATCACCGGGTTTCTCTTTTAAAATGACACACATATTGTTCTTCTATTCATTTACAGTGTATTTTTGTTCCGAAGGTCTGCGTTCTGGGATGTATTTCTAGCACTTACATACGGATCCCTATTGAACAGATATAGTCACTTCCTTGTAAATTTCCCGTAATTGTAAAGTGATTCTACAGGAATGCAAGCTTAGTGGCAATGAACAGAACGAGAAGAATTCCGACATACGTTGTTGCATAATCAGATTCATTCGTGAAATTTTCTAAAAATCAATTTAGTGTACTATACCAGCATATAATACAGTGCATCCCGTCTCCCAATATGCATGGAGTGCTCCACTGGACGCTACCAGACGGTCAGTCCTGGTGAGAACAAATTTTGAGGAACAAAGACTCAACATACTGTGACGAAGATGAAGCGAAATCAAGAGACATTTGGATGAGGGGCCGGCGAGGGGAAAAAACGGAACTGGAGCAAAAGAATCACTAGTCCGCCGCGAGGGTCGAACTCGCAGCCTTCGGATTCCACCAGTCTGACTATCCGATTGAGCTAGGCAAAAAGCATTGAAACCAACCGCGGGGGTCGAACCCGCAACCTTGAGATACCTGCTTATGTAAGAGTCTCACGCTCTAATCCGATTGAGCTAGGCAAAACGCAATGAAACCAACCGCGAGGGTCGAACTCGCAGCCTTCGGATTCCGGCACTCTGACTATCCGATTGAGCTAGGCAAAAAGCAATGAAACCAACCGCGGGGGTCGAACCCGCAACCTTCAGATTAAGAGTCTGACGCTGCTATCCGATTGAGCTAGGCCGGCATTTTCCCACACTTTTGATATGCATTGAGAACGTGGTATGAGAAAGAGAAGGAGGGAGGAAAGAGTAAGGAAAAAAGAGGAGGAGAGAATAGGCAAATGTGGTCATGCAATCAAGACTGGGAAAGCAGTCGACTAGTCGAGTGTTTACCCAGTCTTGATTGAAATGAAGACAGAGACATTTTCCCACGCTTTTGATATGCATTGAGAACGTGGTATGAGAAAGAGAAGGAGGGAGGAGGAGGAAAGAAAGAGGAGGAGAAATGAGCTGAATAGGGAATTCAGGTCATGCAATCAATGATCTCAGTCAATCTTTTCCCACGCTTTTGATAGTGTTGAGAACGTGGTATGAGAAAGGAGGAAAGAGTAAGGAAAAAAGAGGATGAGAGAATAGGCAAATGTGGTTATGCAATAAAGACTGGGAAAGCAGCCGACTAGTTGACTGTTTACCCAGTCCCAATTGAAATGAAGACAGAGACATTTCCCACGCTTTTGATAAGCATTGAAAATGTGGTATGAGAGGAAAGAGTTCGGAAAAAGAGGAGGAAAGAAAGAGGAGGAGAAATGAGCTGAATAGGCAATTGTGATCATGTAGTCAATGGGGTCTGGAATGACTTGGTGGGCATTTTCCCACGCTTTGATAACATGAGACTATGGTAAGGAAAGGAGGAGGAAAGAGTTAGGAAAGAAAGAGGAAGAAAGAAAGAGGAGGAGAAATGAGTGGATTAGGGAATTTGGGTCATACATCATGCTTGATCTTTCCGCACGCTTTTTATAGGCATTGAGATCATGGTACCTGCTTCACAATTATTACATAACACAAGCAGAAAATATGCACGAGCAAAGATGCCGAATTTCTATTTGCTTTACAGTTTAGTCAAAAGGTTGAAACTGCAAAGTTTGAAAACCAACACTGAAAATACTGAACTGAAGTAGAAGTCCCTGGAACCCGTGGAAACCTGTGACCCGACCCGGACTGCAGATTCACGGGCCTCATGTGCACGGGTGAACCGTGGGAAACGTTTCTCGCGGGTCCGGATTTGCACTTTTTCAATACCTGCAGGTAGTTCACACGTTTTAGGTGAGGCTGGAAGCACGGGTGCTCGAGCCTGGAGACAAGATTTGCATTTGCTGCACTCGAATGAAGGTGGAGCGGGACGAGCGTTTGCAGAACGGCGGCAATGACAAGTGCTTGCAGATGATTCCGCAGGAGCAGTACATAGTTCGTTGAGAATAGGAACTGGGGCGAAAGCACGTTGGCATTGGTAAGAACATCAATCCCAGATCCAGGTCCGGCAGTCGAGGACGAAGAAGACTGGCTCGGATTGGGAAGTGGACAAGACACCGCGACGTCCGAACCGACTCAACCGAGTGCCTGCACGAGGCGGCAAACCCGTCTGTCTCGCCCTCCAGCCATGTCTCCCAGCGCTCACTCACGCCCTGTGCACCATATATGGCAAGAACGACCTTCTGTCCCTTTTCTTGCGCGGCTCGCGAGACCTCGTCTGCTAATTCCTAAATCTCGTCGCTCACGACGGTTAATGTAACAGATGCGAGGTCCCCCTTCATCATGTCTGCAAGGCGCAACAATTCCTCGAAAGCGGCCACGCGATGCACGCAGAAAGGCTCATGGGGGTTGATGAGTCACTACCTGAGCGAGTCAACAACACGCCCCACGCAAGAAGCACACAACAAGAATGCTGGTAGCTTTACACACGTCTTAGCTCCGAAGAGCATCGGACTGCCATGAGATGACCTCCCTCGTGAGGCTCATAATTTTAGTGCGGATCTCGCGAGATATGTCCTGGTGCATGGCAGAAGACTGTACTTGGTATTCCGGAATCAAGAATACGTTGCTTGTCCAACTCCTTGGCAATAAGGCGTCCTCGTACCAATCCTTGCGGATGAACGCCTAGTCGAGGCCGCTGCTGTGCACGGAGAACGCGACGAGCGCGAGCTTCGCTGCGATGCATGCCGTGTTCGCTTCGTCGCCTGACTGGTCCACGTTTTCGCGGCCAGGATGACGAAGTTGAGTGTCGGATTCGAACCCAGCAGCCGAGGGAGAAAGACGCAAAGCAAGGGGCTTGTGGCGGCGACGACGCGCTGCTTGCATATCCTGTTGGGGCGGAAGCGGCATGAGTTAAATCCATTCAGAGCGCGTTTAGATATGTGGGACGCACCTCCTGAATCATCATCTCTTACAGCGTCCCCCGACGCGCGGTCGACGAACGAGTCCGCCTGATTCTACTATGGCACAAAATATCAGGTCCACAAGTCCAGAAGGAGAAAGTAAGAACGACGTCGCCACTGTTCTCGAGCTGCTCAGAGGCAGCCGAGGACGTGGCGCGGCGGAGGCGCCGCTCTTCGCGCTCTTCGCGCTCTTCGCGCTCGCGTTCAAGCTCGAGGAGAGCCGCTTCGGGCAGCTGACGTACATCCGCATGTACCAGGGCAGCCTGAAGGAGGCGCAGCACAACTTCTACACGGGCATGGGCAAGATGGTCAAGGTGCCGCGGCTCGTGCGCATGCACAGAAACGAGATGGAGGACATTGTGTCGATCGGGCCGGGCGAGATCTGCGCTATCTTCGGCGTAAAGTGCGCGTCGGGCGACATGTTCACGGACGGCGCGACGAAATACTCGATGGCGTCCACGTTCGTGTCCGAGCCGGTCGTCCCCGATTTCGATGTGCTCGTCCTCGTGCTGGTCGGCAGAGGCCTGCGTTGCGGAGTGGCGATGCGCGCAGATGGGGTGCGCACCACCGCCCACGCTCGTGTGCATGTTCGCATTGTTGCTCATCCTGCACTCTCACATAACTTATCCGATGCGAATGCAGTCAAGATTGACAAAACAAAACCAAAAAGCTGTACAAAACCAAAAGCCGTACAAACCAAAAAGCTGTATGCAATAAGATCACTGTACCCCATCCCCGACCTCCTCATTCATGACCTTGTGCTTCTCATCATTGTCCTCCCCTTCACCAACCGTCCTCTTCCTCCTCCTGTACCTTCTTGGCTTTTTTCGTCGCCTCAGGTTCCTGTGTCTGCTCGTCCACAGGAGAAAGTTCAGCGTGTCCACCATGCGTACAGAAGCAGCGTGTTTTAACCACCCTCTCCTTGGTCACGCAGTTGAAAGGATGCACCAACTCCTGGAAACGTCTGCACACACCCTGCATCATATCATCGTGCTTAGCCTTATTTAGCTTCTCCGCAAATGCCTTGGCCTTTTCCTTGGCATATTTGAAGTCCGCATTGAATTGCGGTGTTGCCTGCCATAACTGCTCAGTTACACCCTTTGGGAGTAAAGGAGCCAACCTATCCAAGTGCATGACGACAGCGATGAGCCAGCACAGGTCTTCCGGAGCGGGCATACGGTCTAGGTAACTTTCTTCAGTCTGACAGATCCCTCCTGCAGAACATTGAACACTCACATCCGAGCTTATCCTTTTTCTTACGACAGTATTCTTCCAAAAAGGCACATAAGCCCTTCATGAGGAGCAGGGGTACACGGGTGTGCTCCGTGTTGGTGATCTTATCTCCATAAAAATGCTCATGTACCATACCATACGCGACGTTCCTGAAGTGCATAACACAGAAGTAGTGACCTCCTAAGCAGATGGAGTCATCCAAAGTAGTAACCAAGTGCGGTGTGTCTCCATGCATGTATCTTCATTATAAGCATACCGATAGATTAGGGTGGTGTCAAATGTGAAAAAAAAAACGCACAAGTCATCCCCCTCTTCCAGTATCACAGAGTCAAACCCCGCTTTCTCACACTGCCAGCCCTGCTTTGTAACCTCCACATCTGCCGCTTCACAAATTACCCAGTACTGACGGCCGGCAGCGACGTGAACGAAGGTGTCCAATGCACCGGCATCGGAATGCCAGTCGGACGTGGACGACTGAAGGGCAGCCGAAAGCCATTGCGAAGCCAAAGTTGCCTTTGTCCCAAGTCTCGTTTGCCACGTATAGTCCTTCTGGTCATTTAGAATAAATCGTGAAAGATCATCAAACAGTCTATCGATATTTATGAGTGCACAATGGTCCACTTTCTGAGCATTGACTTACACGGTCGGCATGGAACGAATGAGTGGGATATCGACAAAGTTGAGGCACCAGAAGGGCGCAGTATTGCCTTTAGGAACTCGTGGCGCGTACTTTCGAGGGCTGCTTTTATCTTTTAATTTGAGCGGGTGATCAGCGGGTAGACTTAATGAGTCAAGTCTCTGAGCCTGGTCAGCTTGATAGACTGTCCATTTTTCACGGTGACTTAGCATTACTTCGCGCTTTTTCGTGACCTGCGCGAGAGATGCGGAGCGTCTGCCTTTTCCAGCATCTGAAATCGTGTTGTCTGTAGTCGAGAGATGAGTGAAACTGCCAGTGAAGAGCACGCAAAACTTACCATGACATTCGCGTAACATGGAGCAATCAACTATAGCTTGGATGTTCGGGGATCCCCATCCGTTGATCCCGTAAAGTGCTTCATGTGGCCGCCCGCTCACATGTATGTGATAGCGCCGGTACACCTGTCGCTTTTCGTCCTCTGTCATCTTGTCAAAATCTTGTCGGTAAATAGTCACGACCTCCCTGACTTCAGAACGACCAGTTGGCTTTTTCACTTTGTCATGCTGAGCGATAAATCTTAAGCGCCCATCCTAACTTCATTGTCAGCGAATCCTCGGTCAAACCGGACAACATATGACAAGGACGTACAAGAGCAATCCACTTTGGTAAGAGGAACGGTTTCCAAACCCAGTCATTTACGAAATTACCCCGTTCGTCGGAGAGTGGGTCTGCCGCCTGCCCATCAGGATTGTGATATCGGTCGGACTCTTCATTGGAAAGGGCTGTCAGGGCTGAGGTTTGAGTCGCACTGACAAGCACTTGCGGCGGAGGACTACAGTAAGGAACAGGACACCGCGCCTGTAACAAAATTAAACCAGATGGCTGCGAGAATGGTCAGGATTTGAGTTTCCAGTCTGCAGAGAAAGCTCACCTGTTTGCAAAG